TGGACTCAATTTGCACTATTTCTGGCAGTCTGCAAAGGCCCTGACTTGTCCAAGGTCACCCACTGGGTTTCATGGCTCAACAGGGATAGTTCAACAGCCGATCCACTGTGCCACACTGGCTCAGACATGACTCTTATGTTAATACTGTATCAATAGCCCTACTAGCATGGTCTGGTGTTCAACTCGGGACTATGTCCAAGGTAACATCAGTAACAGTTATGATGGTCAGTGGATAACTTAAGGCAGTTGCTCCTTCTCTGCCTATCACAAGGTTGTTTTGAAGATGAAAAAAGGGAGTAATATATATCACCTAAATGAAAGGTGGAATGTTTACACAATAAGGCTGCAATCCTGTATGGCTCAGCATTGTGTAGTAGTTCCACATTTGTACCAATTCCACTATGCTAAGCCCTTGGCTTAATGGACAGCATCTGAAGCCCCTCACTCATGGAGACAAGGCAGGATCGGAGAAGTGTCTTGCTTTGTCCAGTTACAAAATGATTTTTTCAGTGCTGAGATCCACCAGGGCCATCTGGAGGTCTCAGACCTTCTGTAATCATTTTGCCCTCGGCTACAGGGACATAATCAGATGGTTCTCTGATTATTTTTGCTCCCCACAAGGCACAAAATGGTTGTTGAGAGGAACACTTCAGAGGCTGTATGATAAATCCATGGGGGAGCTTTGGGTGTTGCAGAGGAAGGAAGGGATTACCAGCCTTGGATGCACCCATGAGGGAAATTGTGCAGGCATATGCCACTAACAAGATAACAGCTTAAATAAGTTAATTACGGGCCTTTGCAGACTGCCAGAAATAGTGCAAATTGAGTCCACTTTAACTGCCCTGACTCAGTGCTAGGGAATCATGGGAACTGTAGCTTATTGTGTCACCAGAGCTCTCTGACAGAGAAGGCTCAATGTCCCAGAAAAAAAAATACAATTCCCATGATTCTATAGCACTGAGCCAGGACAGTTAAAGTGGACTCAATTTGCACTATTTCTGGCAGTCTGCAAAGGTACGCAACAGTAGTTGGCATTAAGTTGAATGCATCAGCAAAAGCATATTATGCTGCCACATCTCTTACAATTTACAGAGTCGATGGAATGAAAAAGAACAATTATTCAATATTCTTTTTTGTCAAATAATATTTGGCAACTGGACATGTAATGCATTTTCTTTTTTACTTTTAATATATCATTAGGCTACTGTCCTATACAGATACATATTAGGAGCTTGGAGTCTTAAAGAATTCAGAGGGATTTATCTTTTGGTCAGTGTGGTGTAGTGGTCTGAGCATTGGACTACGATTCTGGAGATGAGGGTTCGAGTCCCCACTTGGCCATGTGAGTGGGTGACCTTGGGCTTGGCATATACTCTTAGCCCCCAAAAACCTTGTGATAGGTTTACCCTAATTTGGAAATGATTTGAAGGCACACAATGGCAACAAACATATGCATAGGGTTGCACTATTAATAAAGTAAAACTAAATCTCAGTCTCTTAAAGCCCACATTTTCATGGACATCCATCAATGGAATATAACACACACAGAGGGGAGGAGAGGGGAGGAGAGAAAATGGGCATAAATTTACTGCCTTCATTTAAATATTAGCACATCAGATCTTGGGAGTTGTTTTTGTTTTGGCTTAACTTTCTGCATGGATGGTGACAGTATGAGGACAAGTATGTCTAGCATAGGAATGAATGCTTTCATCTAACACTGTTGAATGTTTGAATGATGACAAATATACAAGAGAAGTCTCGGAGAGATGAAAAATCAGGGCAACTGTAACAAGGCCATTTCTTAAACTCTTAAGTTTAACTAGCATTTGGAAAAGTTAAGTTTTTGGGCCACAGCTCTCAAACTCTTGGGCCAGGTGAACATTGAGTCTATTACAATATTGGTCAAAGCACAACAGAATGCATCTTCCTGCCCTCATCCTGATCTTAAATATATGAATACTGAAGGAAAGAGTAACCAAGAAAAAGGATGCTTAAGCTCTCCTGAGGCTCTGTATTATTAGGAACTGCCTGTAGCTGTGCCTAAGGCACCATCTCATCTGTAAAAAGGAAATCTGTGGAATACCAAACTCTACTGAAGGGCTCAGACTTCTGTAGAATTGTGTTAAAAGCTGCAGTGTGCAGTTTCATTTTTTAGACAATGGATGGAAATTGTGTGCCCTCTGGGCCAAATGTAGCCACAGGGCAATTTTTGAGGTTCCCAGAGCTCCACATATAAAAGAAAACACCCAATTTTATCCCTTCAACACTCCCCAAAGAATCTTGCCTCTAGAAAGCACATGTGGGCAACTGTGGCAGGTACAGGGACCACTTTTATGCCTCTAGTAAGAGGATGGAAAGGACAAACCTTCTAACCACTACAACACACTGGCTCACAATTTTCATATTAGCCGACCTTTTAAATTATTTGTTTTCAGTTTGCTAGAGTTTGTATTTGCAATTTTTTACTTTCTATTTTTGGCAAATCATCTTGTAAACATTTTTGTACAAAGGAGGTAAGGAAATACTTTAATAAATAAAGATAAAAGAATAGTATATATATTTTCATAATCTTGTATGATTGTAACACAATTCCATTTTTAAATACAGCTGAGATATTTTCTCAGTATGGCTAACAAGAATGGGATCCTTTGAATTTCTGAGATGTTGAATTTAAGCAAACATCTCACTTGACTCTGATTATTATGTTAATAAATGCACTCCCGAGTGCCCAACTCTCTCTCATCCAGAACAAACATGAGATCTGAATGATCAGTGACTGGTTTTAGCAAGTTCCCAGGATGAACTCTGCTTGAATGTGTCAATTTTCAAAAGCAAATATGGACTGATTTTATGCATGAAATGGAATCGTACAGATATCCAATACAATCTTTCCAGCTGTTTATAAAATATGCATTTGTGGGACTTCCCTTTTTTTTCAAGCAGAAAATGCAATCCATAGTGATTATATATTGTTTTCTTAACATATCAAACATGTTACATGTCCTATGCAGATCCCCAAAGTATTATTGCAAAATTTAACATTTGAGCACCACTTTAAATAGCAGTTAGTTGCTCTTTACTCATTAATGTGTTAATTTCATATTGTTTTTTTAAAAAACACTTTGAAGTACAAAGTAATAGCCAAAAATGTCCTCAAATTGGCATCATTTAAAAACAGTATCTTGATGTTACTTATTATTAGGGTTCCTGGAACTCAGGATGTGGCCTTGAGTCTCAGGGCCCAGCTTATTCTTCTCTAGTTTTCAGATAAATAAGAGAAATTTCAGAGCAAGAGCACTGCCTAGAAAAGCCACTCCCTTCCTCTCTCTCTTCCTCAGTGGCTAAATCCTTCTGATAATATCAGGATGCTGCCCAATTTAAAATTAAATCCAGATCAGGTAAGCCAGTTTTAAAATGAATGTGATAAGCTTCTATTAAGCGGTATAGAAATGTAAATGCTATTACTATTGCTAAATGGACTGGATGAGGGAAAACCGACTCAAGCTGAATCCAGGTAAGATGGAAGAACTTGTCATAAGAAACTCGAACCCTGGAATGGAGTTATGTCAGCCAGTTCTGGACAGGGTCACACTTCCCTTGAAGGACTCTGTCCACAGCTTGGGGTGATCCTTGACTCATCACTTCACTTGACAGCTCAGGTGGATGAGACAGTCAGGAGCTCCTGTTATCTACTTCAGCTGATACACCAGCTGTGCCCCTTCCTGGAGCAGGGAGATCTTGAAACAGTAGTATATGCACTGGTAACTTCTCAGTTAGACTTCTGCAATGTGCTGTACATGGGGCTATCCTTGAGCCAAGTTTGGAAACTTCAGCTTGTACAAAATATGGCAGCCAGGTTGATTACGGGCACTTCCCGTAATGATCATATAACACCGGTCCTGAAGTCCCTTCACTGGCTGCCAATTAGTTTCTGGGCAAGGTACAAGGTGTTGGTTATTACCTTTAAAGCCCAACATGGCTTGGGACCAGAATACTTAAAGGAGCGCCTTCTTCCGTATTGTCCGTGTCGCACACTAAGGTCCTCAGGGAAGAATCTTCTACAGCCAAAAAAATCTAGGCTTACATCGGTCACCAGAGGGCCTTTTCCACTGCTGCTCCAAAGCTGTGGAATGACCTGCCGGAGGAGATCCATCACAACTCCACTCTTACAACCTTCAAAAAGGCTCTTACGACGGATCTCTTCCAGCAGGTCTTCGCAGCTTAGCTCCTCTCCCTGCACAAGGTGATTTACATCACTCTGTCTAGCAATTATCTCCCTTTTTAAACTTTTGTATTTTTGTTTTTAAATAATGTTTGTTTAATTGTAATTTTAGCATTGGGTTGGGGGAGTTGGGAAGAGATTAATTTTTTAATTCTATTGTATTCTATGTATTTTTTATTGTTGTAACCCGCCTGGATTCTTTGTGATAGGGCGAGCTATAAATAAATAAATAAATAAATAAATAATGCTATTCAAAAACCTAAATCTCCAGACCAGTCCTAACTAGAGCAGACTTTCTGTATCAGCTGTTGAACACTGAGTCAATATCTACGCCAGGGGTAGGCAACCTTTCCCCTTTAAGGGCCGAGGAACTTCAGCTCCCAGAAGCCTCAGCCATGTTGGCCAATAGTCCCATGTTGGCCAATAGCTCCTGGGATTCTGGGAGGTGAAGTCCCTCGGCCCTTAAAGGGGAAAGGTTGCCTACCCCTGATCTACGCAAATCTCATTGACTCAAAAAGGTCTACTCTGTCTGAGAGTAATAACAGGATTCAGGCCAAAATCCACTTCTCCCCACACCAAATGCCACCAGCATTTGCCAATTCTCCTCTCTCTGCTTCAATCTTGCCATGACTTGAAGCCTTCAAAGGTAATCTTGGCTTCTGGATCATTTGCCAGGCAGAATGGCACAATCTAGAGCCTAGGATTTGTCTTTTTGAGTTGAACTGCTTGAGAAAGTAAAGAAAGAAGACAAAACCTCTTGAGATATATGGTGCAACTCTTAACAAGCAAGCTTGGATCACTAGCAATTCTTTGCTCTCCCCCACCCCCAGCAAAGACAAACACACAAAGAGTTACAGCTTCACACTGATTTTGGTGGGACTGTGACCTCACACCTGCAAACTGCCTGTTCTGAGAAGAGTAAGAAGGACTACTCAGAAAATTAAGAGGATTAAAATATGTCACCCTTTCACCTTTCTGAAATTCTGACAAAAGTTACAAGTGTCAAAATGGTTATTTTTTTATAAAATGAGAGAAAAAGCGAGGGAGGGAGAGAGAAAAGGAAAGATTGGGAGAAAGTGCAATCAGACCCTCAAAAGTACTTTTCCAAGAGCCGCCTGGTGCTGTATTAGCCAAGTCTAAATGAAGAAACCATCTTATGACTCATACTTTCCAGTCTTCGTAATCCGTTAGTGGGTTCCAGACAAGAGAGTTTTCTTCTCCCTGACATCATTTTTGCCATAATTTATGTACCTTTCAATAAAAAATGCCATTTCAAATCTCATTTTTAAAAAAGCAAGTCTGACAGCAGAGAAACAAAAAAGAGCCTTTTTAATGCTTTTGACAGAAGGTGTAAATGAAGCCGACGAGACTTCCAGTTTACAAAGCAGGAAGGAAAAAAAGAATTTCTTGCAGATGGTTAAACTTGGTGTTAAGTGATTGCTTGCTAGTAACGGCAGTATTGAAAAAGAAACCACCAGTAATAGAAAAAGTGCTTATATTTTAAAACTATGCATATGTTATAACACATAATGCATACAACAGGGGTCCCCAAACTACGGCCCGCGGGCTGGACCCGGCCCGTTGAGGCCTTCATACCAGCCCGTGAGTCCTCCTGCTGCCGCTGCTGCTGCCGCTCGCGCTACCAGATGCCATTTTGTGTGCCAAAATGGCATCCAGAGTCATGCGCATGTGTCCGGCATCGTGTGCGCATGCACACAACTCTGGATGCCATTTTGGCAAACAAAATGACATCCGAGTTGCGCGCATGCGCACGCACGCACACGCGGCACCCCCCCCCAGAAGATCTGGGGGTCAGCAAACCAGCCCTGGATGAAAAAGTCCAGGCACTCCTGGCATACAATATGTATGTGAGTTCTCTCTCACACCTTCCAGTTATAGTACTTTGATTCCACTTTAACTGCTGTCACTCCATCCTGTGGAATCCTGGGTTTTGTAGTTTTGTGAATTATTAAGAATTCTCATCCAGAGAGCTCTAGTGCCTCACCAATCACAAATCCCAGGATTCCATAGGATGTAACCATGGTACTTCAATCAGAACTAAAGCACAGTAATTGTGTAGTCTGAAAGAGACCTCAAAGGCAGATGGACCCCAATTAAA